AGAGTCTCGCGGGAATGTCTCAGCTCTTCCAGCGCCGCCCGCCACCATCATCGCCCGTCAATGTTGACATTGGCATCCTTGCAGTGTGGATGCTGCTCGTTGGCACGGCAACACCGCCAACTTTCGAGCTGCCCCGGAGCCTTGGCGTGAAAATCTTCAAGGCATCGTCGCCGTCATCCACCCAGCCGCAAAACTTGCCCAGCACACGCCGTTTCCAGACCGCGTGCTGCCAGCATACCATGACCTCATTCTCCCACCTCTCCCGGCTGCGCATGTCCGCCTTTCTTCCCCATGTCTGTCTCCAGTGCCGGCTTAAGACTGTATCCTCGCTGCCTGCACAGTCTTCGGCGTCTTCGCTGCTGCAGGCAGTGAGACACGCATCCTCCGCCCGACCGCGACGTCGCACACCCTCTCGCATGGCCCTCTCGCCCAATGTCGCCCAGTCCACTGTGAAATACGGCGAAAAGCGAAAGTCGGTCCGGCATCAGAACGGTCCCTTCGGCGGGATGAACCAGCGCCGTGCGAACCTGCGAGACCGCCAGCGACCGCGATCCCAGGCCGAGCTCAAGAGGACGTCGTTCAAAAAGGACAAGGATGACTCTGAGAAGAAGCAGCCGGAGCTCTTCAAAGCGCTGAAGATGCAGACAGCCCTTTCGTCCGTGTCGTACGGTCGTAGAACCTCCATCAAGTCCAAGATCTCAAACATCACCAGCTTCGACCAATTCGATCTGCTGCCTTCCGTCCGCCAGTCCGTCTACGACAGCGCCCTGCCCGGTCTGGAATATGTCACGCCGACGCCCATTCAACGATTGGCCATACCCGCGATTCTCAGACAGGGCTCTGCTACCCCCAGACCCGAGGAAGGCCAGGAGGACATGCCGCGATTCGACCAGTATCTCCTGGCTGCCGAGACTGGCTCGGGGAAGACTTTGGCTTACCTGCTTCCGGTCGTAGATGCCATAAAACGTACGGAGGCTAAGGATAAGGAGGAAGAAGAACGAATGGCAAAGGAAGAATTGAAGAAGGAACAGGAACAGGCAGGGGAAAAAAACCAAAACCTGTTTGAGTTGGAATCGCCTGGAGAAGAAGAAGAAGAGCCCATAAATGCTCCGAAGAGTGTGGTCAAACCGAAAGCCATAATCCTCGTCCCCACGTCCGAGCTCGTTGAGCAGATTGGCCGAATCGTAAAGCAGCTTGCCCACACCGTAAAATATCGATCCGCGCTCCTCGCTTCCAATTACACTCCACGGAAAATCAGAAGGACCCTCTTCAATCCCAATGGCCTCGACATCCTCGTCACCACCCCTTATCTCGTGGCCTCGATTGCTGAAGCCAATCCCTATATCTTCAGCCGCGTCACCCATCTCGTTGTGGACGAGGCCGACTCCCTTTTCGATAAATCCTTCTCTCCAAAGACCAACACCATCATTGACAGGACAGCTCCGACTCTTAAGCAGCTCATCCTCTGCTCCGCTACCATTCCACGTTCCCTCGATAATCGCCTTCGTGAACGATTTCCACAGATCCGAAGACTCGTAACCCCTAACCTTCACGCGATCCCCCGAAGAGTCCAGCTTGGTGTAGTGGATATTGACAAGGAACCGTATCGCGGTAGGAGACATTTGGCCTGCGCAGACGCCATCTGGTCCATTGGAAGGTCGGGGAACCCCTACGACGCCGACGTTGGTTACCAAGTCACCGGCCAAAAGGAGCCAAAATCCATAATTGTCTTTGTCAACGAACGAGAAACCGCAGCCGAAGTCGCCGAGTTCTTGGTAACTAAGGGCATCAACGCTGTCTCCCTGACCCGGGACACTTCGGAGAAGCGCCAGGCCCAAATCCTAGCCGAATTTACAACTGAAAAAAATCCGCCGCAACCAGAAGATTACAAAATGTTGAAGGGGAATCGATCTGATGATGATTCAGTTCCCTTTGTCAACGTCAGGCCAGGCAATGAGAGGTCCAATCGCCTGTCCAACACGAAGGTCCTCGTTGTGACCGATCTTGGTTCTCGCGGTATTGACACCGTTGCTGTTAAGACTGTCATCCTCTACGATGTCCCTCATTCGACTATCGACTTCATTCACCGCCTCGGCCGCCTTGGCCGAATGGGTAGGCGAGGTCGCGGTATTGTTTTGGTCGGCAAGAAAGACCGAAAGGACGTGGTCAGAGAAGTCAGGGAGGCCATGTACCGGGGCCAGGCCTTGATATAAGCTGGCGAACCGCCACCGATCTACGATGCATATATATCACTAACACTCTGTTATTCCCTTCGTCCTGTATTACTATTTTACTATAGATGGATGTAAAACTGCATGCCTGGTGTTTGGAGCACTGGTATTGACTGTATTTATAGATCTTGGATATCTAGCGGCTACAAATTGGGTTTACTGGTGGGAAGAAGTTGGAACGGAGTCAAGGACACCACTTTAAAAGAACATGACAATTTGATATACATAATACTTATGTTTCCTAACCCACATTTTTAAGGTTAAGCGGAAGAAAATGCATGCTTTCACTTTGGATACTCTGGGGGGGAGATCAAGGATGTATTCCAAAGAGGGAAAAAAAAGCAAGGTTTTGTTTGCCCTAGATCTAGGATTCCAGGTGTGACAAGCCTTCTCACTTAAGTGCATGATTTGATTTTTCAATAATTTGCTTGCAGCCTTTTGCTACCATTCTCGCCTGATGGCATTTGTTTCGTTTGGGCAACAGGGGCAATCCTTCCGCCGAGCAAACACGTCATTGAGCAAGCAGCGTAACTCGACTGCCCACACGCCTTCATCCGACTAATGAAGATGGACAATGCAATCATCTACAAGATTGTTAAAAGCCCGTCGCTGCCTTCTATCTGACACGGTCTCAGCGTGCATCTTGGGCCAGAGAAAGGTTGGCGATATCCACTCCCTGCGCCGTTAGAATATGGGAAATATAATCTCTTGCATAGCGGAACTATCACAGGATGATGATCGCGGGTCTACAAGGAGCCACTGTAGCTGCTACAGCTGCAGACATCGGTCAAGACACCGGCGTCGCCGCAGATTGAGGGAGAACGGAAGCTGGAGACGGCGTCGTGAAGACAGTCTCCTTGATAGCCTGGTGACTTCCGTGGCTGACTTCTTCAAGGCAGAGACAGAGCATACTAAAGCGCGAACCGAGCAAAGGAAAGCCAGAAGGAAAGAAAAGGAGCCAGAGCCAGCACAACTCTCTGTTGTTTCTCGTCATCTTCAAGCTCAGCAAGCGCCTCAGCTTCCACAACAATTTCCGCCTGCTCCTGCAGCGGCGGCGGCGGCAGCACCGGCACAAATGATACAAGAAATGTATCAGCCTGCTGTTGCTGCAGGGGCGCTGAGGGACAATATAGCACATCCAAACTCTTTTGCCATGGGTATTGGCAGCGGCGGGGCTGGTCTGATGGGCGGTAATGGTAAGTGTTACACCAAATTTGCACGCCGGTCGACGGTCGAGATACTAATCGAAACGCAAGGCAATCCGCACACCGCAAGGGAATTTTATCATATAGCACATTCACCAGGACCTTCAGGGCGCAGGCGGAAGGGAAAAAGAGTAAAACGGTGAGTCTATCGTGTAGCATTGGTATGCTCCCTGCTTACTTTGGTTTTTCGTTTAGAAATGAAGCGCCGCCCGAGAGTGAAGAAAGTGAGTGGCCGCCTGGAGAGAAGGGATGGAGACTCCGACCCAGGCGACCGACGAGGAGACCGGACGTGGGAGAGAATCTGTCAAGGGCTCCTGGAGTCGACCATCCTCCTCCACAGATACCTCCTCTCCACGGGGCTGCACGTAGAGAGCCAATGTAGCACACAAGATGCAAGAAGGCTTTTAGGGAGAAATGATCAGTGAAAGGTGGGATGGGTGGCATATACTTCGGTCACATTCTGTGCCCGGGTAAGCTGTTCCTGTTATTTGTTTTTTTCTTTTCTTTCTTTCTTCCTTTTTTTTTTTTTTGGCTTTTTGTTTTTTTTCCGGGATACTGTTTGTCAAAGCAAGCCCACAAACACTTTTAGGCACTGTAAAAGTTCATATTAAGTGTTATACACAAGTAGACAGCCGCAGCGCGTCAATTGTAGAGGCAAACAATCATCAAACCACTTACAAGTAGATATAGTTCCTAGAGCCAACAGTTTGACTGAAGTACAAAAATCCTGCTTGGACAAATCAGCAAGGAAATACATGATTCCTTCTTCATCAAGCCCAGAAAAAATCACAACGTGCTCACACATACAAATCTTCCTTGCCAATACTGCGCTTTCTCGCTAAGGCCTGTTGAACCATCCCACGACCGAAAACAATGCCATTCCTCACTGATGGTCTGGGTTCCGGGACGATCTCCACTTCCCCCGTGAGACCACACGCGAAACCCTCAAGCGCATCGCCCGCACACCTCCAGAATTCTGGTCCAACAGAGATTGGGTGGAATCGCGCCGCCAGCGCTTCCTGCGTGAGCAGGCTCTCCAAAGAGCGAAGAAACAAGGACTCTCCGAAGCCAGGGTCAGAATGGAATTTCCAGAGGGCAGATACCGGCCTTACACCCCAAAATTCGATCAGGGGTTTGTGGGCCATGTGTTGGATAATAGGTGGCGGAGATATGTTGACCAGTCTGCATGTGAGCAGCTTCAGGCCGCTGGGTATGAAGTGGGAATCGATGAGTATGATAGGATAGTATATTGGCTGCCTCCGCCTCATGTGGTTTTTTTGGGAGTAAGAAGGCAAGGAAGGACAGGAACTCTCAGCACCTTGGGAAACAAAGGCTGATTCTATATTGCCATCGACGAATATGACCTAAGCCCAAAGTCGCACAAAAGCATTCAATTCTGAATAAAGGTCCCATATATTCATACAAAATAGGCCGATTCACCATGTTCCCCCAAAGGATTTTTGCAGTTGCAAAAATCTAAATGCACAAAAAGATGCAAAATATTGGGTAACTCAATGGTCAAGAACCAGGTTATGCAGAAGTCTAGCAGCGGATTTTACTGCAATCATATTGCTAGATGTAAAGAACTCCTCGCACGCCTCAGTGACCTTGTAAGTCGTCTTTCGTCGCCGAATTCGCTTGCATCCGTTTCTGTCTTGTTCTCAGAAACGTCCGGCGTCGGACTGGTTGCATGGCTGACACCACGGCCTCGGCGCTGAACACGCGCTTCATCTTCCGTCCTCAAGAACCGGTGGATAGTGCGATGATCCATCACACGCTCCTCAGTATCATTCCGACCTTCCCTGTCGGTTTTAGGCCAACAATAGCCATATAGCTTGGAATGTCGTTCGCATCGTGGACATTCTTTCCGAGTGAGATAGGCGTCTCCTTGGACAAACCAAGCATTACACGTCTGGCAATCCACCCAGCGGTCATACCGCTGTGCAAGGAGCTTTGGAGTTTTCGTATAATCGCCCGGCGTTCGCGCTTTTGGGGCTTCATGTTCAATAGTGGGGATAATGCTACTTTTTCGTTTCCTCTTCTTCTTCTTAACAGGCTCTCGCTTGACAGCTGTCATTTCACGGTCATTGATTTCCCACGATGCCGAGAGGTCTGATAAGTCCGATTCGTCATTATCTCGGATAACGTCTTGAACGTGTAAACCATGATCTCCCGAAATGGTCTTGCTGGCGGTTTCAGATGAGGCCCTGGGTTGCTGCTCCACTGTAGGTTCAGTTTTTACCGGCACATTTGAATCGCTGACCGACGTGGCTGACGTTGACCTCGTGGAAGTAGGTGCCTCGTCATCCGGACATAAACTGCAGGAAGTTTGGTCGCTCGAAGACGAGGCTGAGATGAAATTCGAATGGGGTTTCTGAAAGTGTCGTAGCTCAGATTTACCGGCCAACGAAGCGAAGTGACTTCTCAACGCACGTAAGCCGCCGTTAACCGTGATCAAAGGCTCAGCAATAGGGTCAGGGCTGCTTGGAGGGGAAAGCTCTAGTCGTAGATTTAATATGTTTTCGAACCTAGGCCTTTTTGAAGGCATATCTTCTGACGGGTGTGAAGGAGATTCGGGAGGGCTTTTTCTCTTCTCGGAGCCTGAGGAACTTTTCTCCTGGTGTTCTGTTGTTGATTCTGGTGTGGAGGCACGACTATCGTGTTCCGGCGGGCCACCTGGGGACCATCCATTGCTCAGAGAAAGTTCGCAAGTATGGCAGAGGCATTCGCAATTATCTACCCCGAAGTAATTTTCCCCGTATGACACCGTAATCTCTTCGCCGATGGATATGTCCCTAATGGCCACGATTTCCATGCCTTCTGAGCCCTTTGTAACCAGCCGGGCGTTGGGATTGCAGTCATGATTCGAGAATCTCGCTGGTCCAAGGAAAAGCGATGGTGTCTTTTTCCTACTTGACATGACAATACTGAAATCTCGCCTTGTCAAGTCGAGGGTCTTTTCCTCCTCAGGGGTAATTGCGACGAGGGTCCCCGAAAGATGCTTAATAGTGTCACCCGTGCGTATAAATTTCCTGGCTGACAGCGCAGCCTCATGGGTAGTGATGGTGTAGCGGTTCGTAGTCGTGACTTCGAAAGGGCAGTCGGGGAGGTAAATTGCAATATATTTTCGAAGGTGGCGACGGAACCATTCCTTCTCCTTGTCAGATTTGAGCTTCTCAACATATTTTCTGAGGCCCGAGAGATTCAGCAATGATTCTTCCGCCTTTATCACGTCTTTGGCGACGATAACGTCGTGGAGCAATATCGAGGTGACATCGTCCTCCACAACGCCCCGAACGGCAAAGTATTTGGGTCGGTTCTTACGAATCTTGGTCCAGAAAAACGCCTACATAATCAGCTGTCAGAGCGAATTACTGTGTTACGGGGCAAGAGTCTCACGCGATCGACCAACGCGTCGGTGACAATGTCATCGTAAGCCGCAAGCTGAGCAAGGGTCAACTTTCCTTTCTGCTTTGGCGGTGGAGTAGGTGCCATTAGGGTAGAAAGAATGCAAAGAGTGCCAATGAATATCTATCCATGAATTGAGCATGTAAATGGCAACTATAGTTCTATAGAGGCTCAAAAAAACATATGGAAAGGAGGTCTGGGAAGGCAAGCTAAAGCGGGAAGAAACACCATGCGCCGAACACAAATAGAGGATGTTACAGATCAAGGAAGACGATTAAGCTCCAGAAGAGCTCAATCATTGTAGAGGGCGCACGCATGCGAACAAGCAGCGGTGTTGTCCTCATCCAATAACCCAAGAATGGTGCGCTCTGCTCCTGTACCTCGACGGCGCGAAAAAGGGCGCTGCTCGACACGGAGACGGGAAGCGCTTTTGAGTTTGGCGTAACATTATGTCAGCAGCCAGCCACGGAACACGGCGAATGTAATTGTCCGTGTTCGATCCTCCAATTGACGCTCTTCGCAAAGCTCCGAATTTGACGACGGCGAGCTGCAAACACGAGGTTTATCCGCAGTGCATGATGCTATCAAGATGAGTATACAGATCAAGGCAAGTAACGTGTGCTTCCAATGCTATGTTTTGGTGGTTCCCATACTCACATGCCCTTTACAGACGCTATTAAACTGTATCGACAATTCCGGCGCCGCCGTTGTCGAGTGCGCCGCCGTCCTGAAGAAGAAAGGAGCAGCGACAATCGGTTAGTCCTACATCTGATCGACTGGAATACCCACCGAATACCTAACCTCTTCCTTGCGATAGGTGACCGGATCATCGTCGTAGTGCAAAAGCAGCGTAACTTTGGATCGGAGGCTAGCGGTGCCAGCACAGCCATCGCAAACAAAGTCCGTCGCGGAGATGTCAGACACGCCGTTGTTGTGAGAGCAAGGCAAAATATACAAAGACCGGATGGTAGTTGCATCAAGTTTGATGACAATGCATGCGTCCTTATCAACAAGTCCGGGGACCCGATCGGGACGAGATTGAACGGTGAGCTGGTCTCTTCCACATGCCGATTACACTTCACAACGCTGCTAACACAATGACATAGGAGTTGTTGGAGCGGAACTACGGAACAAAAAATGGTCGAAAATATTATCTTTGGCACCAATGCATGTGTAAAATACCGCGGCGCACATTTATGGGATATTAGATTTATGGGATATTAGAATTCTTTTCAATGTATTTTTAGTCCGGGGAATGTAGCATCGTCATGACCATTTATACCCATCCATTTCAAAACCAAAACTCCTATCCAAAACGCCAATATATGTCGATCGAAAAAGAAAAGTCCGTCGTGTCGCTTTGAGCGTCATCGATAAAATCATCATGTGAACACCTTTCCGCATGCACAGCAAACGTAGTACAATTTCTATGCACCAAGAGATCGTATTAGATGACCTGACACGTAGACCATAACTGTTTGGGGCTATCAAAGGTATCTCACCATTCCTGTCTCCGCTGACCGTTGTTGTGACTGAAAGAACACCGCCTCGTTCTCTCCGCAGCTTGGGCAAAGTCTATTTGACCTCGGCAGCTATCGAAAAGGCGTAATCATTAGCAACAGTGCCCTTTTATAGTGATAGGGGCATGTTTGAAGTGGGATAATCATCATCATCATCATTCTTCTTCTTCTTCTTCTCCGTCCTCTTCTTGGTCAAAAAGCAGGAAAGTCTGGTTGAGGAGGCTTATGTGATAGGTGGAGCTGGCAGGTTGTTCGGGCTGCTTATGGGCAATCTGCTCTCCGCAGAGAGTGCAGAAAGGGATACCAACCGTAGGATCAGATCCAACATCCTGAGTCACACCGGCTGTGTCGCCTACTTGGCTGTTGAGTTTGTTCTGGTAAACGCAGTGAGAGGTGGCGGGTTCGCCGACATGGCAAGTGCGGCAGGAAAACATCAATGTATTCGTGGCACGATCTTCTTTGGGGTAAAGAAGGTTGGAGCTAAGAGGATAAAAAGTCAGTGGATGGCGCGCGACCATATAGCGAGGGACGACTTTCTTACCATTCGCGACAGAAGCGGAAATGAATCTGGTCGATGCCCTGAGACTGGTCTCCACCAGTGGTAGACGAGGGAGAAGCGGACATTTTGGCTGGTGGGGGGTTCCGATGCGAAGATGCAGTGGAGGGGGCTATAGGAGGCTAGGGGATGTCAAAAGAGAAATCAAACTGTGCTCTGTACTAATAGGACTCTGAAGCGATCCTGGAGACTGAAGGCGTGGGAGACTGGAAGCGTGATGGATTGCTTGGGGAGAAAAAGCCGCTTGGCTGGATGCGGACAAGCGCGGTGCACGGTCCCCTCAGCCCTACCTGCTCGCCTTTGGAGCAGCCAACGTTCACTGACGGTCACCTGTCCATCTTCAGGAGCACAAGCACCCTGCCGTTCGCCCTAGAGAAGAGATAGAGATAGCAGTGAATGAGATAGGGAGCACAGCAGAGATACCTTTTCACGCAGCTGAGGATAATAGAAGCCGGCCACTACATAAATAGTTGCTGAACATTCCTTCTCTCAATTGCTGGCCAACAATTGCCTACCGTTTGTCGACAGTAGAAACCATGGTGAGTTCCTGATGATTTACCTGCGGGAGTCCGCTCCCTAGGTCGATCAAAAGGACTGTATTGGTGACTGTTCATAGGCAGAGTCGGGGCTTCCTCCAGGATGGGAAGTTCGTCATTCCAATTCGAAGAAGTTGCCCTACTACTTCAACCCACATACTAAGGAATCGCGCTGGGAGCCCCCTGCTGATACCGACACGGAGAAGCTGAAGGTGTACATGGCCACGTATCACAGTGGCCCGCCAGATCGCTACACAGGCTCCAGCCAAAAAGAGGGCCAAATCAGGGCAAGCCATCTGCTCATTAAGCACCGAGACAGCCGCAGGCCGACCAGCTGGAGAGAGGCGAACATCACGCGTTCCAAGGAGGAGGCGATTGAAATTCTCAATGGCCATTTGCAGCGCATTATGTCTGGAGAGGCGACCCTCGGGAACATTGCGATGACTGAATCGGATTGCAGCAGCGCACGGAAGAAGGGAGACCTGTCAGTGACGCATTGTCCTTCTGCCGTAAGATATGCTTACCATGACACAGTGGATTCTTTGGCCGTGGAGTTATGCAAAAGGAATTCGAAGATGCGTCATTTGCTCTCAAACCGGGGCAGATCAGTGGAATTGTGGAAACACAGTCTGGAGTCCATCTTATTGAAAGGTATGTATATCAAGGATTTGTTGATGCACCATAGAGTCCAACTGACCTGGAACAATAAGGATTGAATGAATCAATGAGTCTACTTCACATGTATCTAGGATGCTATACCAATTCAGAACATTGTTTGGTCCTCATATGCCCCTAGTGTCCGATGTCTTTCGGCCTATTCCAAATCAAGTGTTTTCAAAACGTTATGCTAGCATCAAAATCGTCGCAGAAACCAACCCCCTCTATTTATTGTGTTTTTTCTCCTGTTTCATGCTGTTGCTTTATCTCTATATCCCGCAAAACAAAAATTGAAATATCTGTTGTTAGGCATAATCCTGGTTTACTCTTCAATCTGTGGTCTTAATATCCCCCCTTAGGACACCATAGACCTACTCCGAAGAGGGATTTGGCCATGGCTGAAGAAGAGAACCACAGCTTCCCTGTAAGTTATTCCTCTCACCCTCCGTCGTGCCATGTTTATGGTCTTCGGCTCAATTTTCCTCAGATGGCTGGAGTCGCGAACAGCCCAAGCGGCAACCAGATGCACCCAGGAAATAGTGGAGAGCTGTCTGCGTCTCTTGTTTCGGGTGGAAATGTGATGTCTCCGGGGCCTCAGATCGGTGATAATATGCAACGGGATGACTTACCCATTCCAGATCTCGGCACTGAAACTTTTTTGAATATGAGCGACCAAGAGTTTCTCGCTATGTTCGAGAGCTTCAATAATACCGGGTACCAAGCAAATCCAAACCCCATTGCGGAGCTTCCAGCTGCCAATATCGATCCTCCCTCCCAGCCAAATATTGGGTCTATACCTCAAGCCCCCACTCCCGCCCAGGGCAATCCGAATGAAATGCCGGGCCAACATACAAGCGTTCCACTTACTGGGAACTTTATCCGAGCAAACGCCCCATTGGGCCCGGCACAGACAGGTATTCCACCACACACAAGCATCCAAGCCATTGATGCGCAAGCCAAAGCTATGGTCAACACCATGGCGTACATTCGGGTCCACAGTTTGACTGGATGGGACTTTCTACGCCAGCAGCACAACCGATCACTGCGGTTCTATGCGGGATGCCTCAAGAAACCTGCTCAAGAAGGGAAAAGAGACTGGGAACGCTACCTGGAGGAGATGCGGCTGACGTATAACATGTTGAGAGACTACCAGATGCAAGCGTATAAATCGATCTGTGGATCGTTGAAAATCTGGCTCCGTTATTACTCTACCATCCTCCAGACTGACACCCTTGAAGGTTGCACCAAAGAGTTTCGCGATTATGCAGAGCTCCAACAGCAAATTGTCGAATATCGCTTCCCTGAATGGCATGATCATCCGGCGCTGGACTTCTTGCGCAGAGACGCTCAGAGACATGCCGCGTAGTCTTTGATTCGTGAGAAGGTGGCGGTAAGTTCCTCGCGTTTTGCTACTTCCCATGATTCTTTCGAATGCTAAGTTAATGGTAAGGTAGGATCCTAAGCATACTATTAAAAACGCAAGGATCCCGCCGAGTGAGCTGGTATCGGATACAACCTGGATTTCCTTTCTTGGGAGTATGAAAGGGCGGAAGGTATTCTGCGGTTTTTTCATAATAAAAGTCCTCTTTTAGTTTTAGTTCTTGAATCCAATGTCGACTCATATTCCTTTAGCTCCGTTGTGATTCCATGGGATGTTGCCGCGAACTAGCATGCTGCAGGTGTTTTCCTGCAGAATGGTTTCTGCTCTGTCCCTTCTCGAGGTTATTAGCACATCACTTTCTAGTGAGCTACAAAACAAGGCTAGGCCCTGTTACCAAAGCGGGTTTTCCTCGTGATTCTCCAAGTACTATCATTGTTTACCTCTACTTGTTTGTATTTGTATTGAAACACGTTCTACATTTCAGGACGCAGTAAATCCTGACGATTGTCGCACGTCGACAACGTGCTCCTTTGGCTCTTGCTTTCCTCCTGTAAAGCAAAAGCGAGAGAAAGGGCAGACTTTCCCTCAAACCTTTCTCCTTCCCTTGCATACATCCTCATTTCCAAGCGCCAACAAAAATGCATCACAATCAAGTATACACTGCGCCCTTGGGTTCGACCTCAGCACCTGTCGTCAGCGGATCCTCCCTCCCCCAGCACCTTTCGTTCGTCATACCCCTCGAGATCCGCTGTGCCTTCAGTCAAGCTTATCACGCTGCGGAAAAGGCCCACGACCAGTTCAGAAAACTCCACAAAAACATCAAGAACCGTTTATATCTGCTCTGTCCTACGGATAACGCCATCCACTTTCAAGAACACTGTTCCGCAATCAACCGTTTACAGGCCTGGGGGAGAGATGGTATCGAGTACTCACGCAGGTTTGAGATCGGACAAACCCTCGCTCCCGCAGCTAAGATTCCTTCTTTTACCTTGAAGTTCCACGTCGAAGAGAGCGCTTACAGGGCGTATCAGGAGCGTCACCAGACCACAAGAGACGCTTTCTTCAGGGGTGCGTTGGCGTATTGGAAGGAGTGCAAACGTCACTGCGAGCTGCTGCTGCATCGTTCCACGATATCTGTAATGGATAAAGAGATGTGCTGGGACTGGTGGCGGAAGTTCCTCGCAGAAGTCACGAAGTGGGAGGCGAGGGTGGATGATTTGGTCGTGCCCGACTGGCCTATCGTGCTGGAGGAGTTGACGTCGTTGGTGGAGGAACGGGCCGATTTGGAGGACGAGTTTCTCTGAGCGGACAAAAATCTGAACGTCTCAAAGTTCGTCTAGAAAAGGAGAAAATGGCTGGAGTTGGGCGCGTGCAACCCCTGGTCTTTGGCTTTTTGCGGTAATTTTGGAGTTTATTACAACATTGGGATCTTGAAAACAATACTTGGAAGAAAAGCCGTTAGAAATAGGCTGGAATTTGGCAACAGTGGACTATTCCAGGTGACGGAATAATGAAATTAGGAGAGAAATAATGGAAGGCTTTCAAAGTTTGTCCACGGTGATGTTGGATTGAAAATAAGTGGTGGAATACCAGGCCAAAGCAAAATTTTTCCTATGTTCAATTAATACAGATGCAGTAGTGTTTCAGTAAGAACAGATTCTGAGTGTCATCACAGAACATATAGGCAGGGAATCTCAGCCCTATTCACTTAAAGCTGGCCCATGGTGTCTTGACATTATACTTGCCATGAAGGCGGCCATTCTGTAATCCATGACACCAACGCACGCAATCAGAGGGTATACGGATGCGGGACAGGCTCTGTGCAAGGTCGAAATGGCGCGCATATGCAACTGACCAATCAAAGGAATAAGTAGGTGGTTATGTCGGTAAAGAGGACAAACTTGAAATTCTAGGACACAGAAGACTCAGGGCTCGGGCATGCTGGTGCTCAACCGTTCCAGTCGTGATGTTATAGCGTCAATGACAGCAGCTCTAGATTGTATCACCCTATTAGTCACAATAAATGACAGGAGCAGCTGGGGCAACATACTCTCTTTCAACCATATTCATCGCATCTGCAACTTTCGCCTTCTGTAGTCGTGGCGGAACATGCAATGGACTTGAACGCGCGTCGATACGGGCGGGGGTAGCTTCATTGGAATTATCGGAACGCCGTTTCGATTCAGATACAAGTTCCTTAGCCAAAGATTTCGCCTATAACCAACACTGTCAGTAAAAGGGCCGGAATAATATTATCAACATAGCGGCTTCATACGGTTTTGAGTCTTTCAAGCAATTCGGTTCTTTCATCGCCATCAGCTCCTCCGATTGATTCTGTTAATGTATCAACCTCTCGAATCCAACCCTTTTCTTTATCACTTATTGGCCGACCGCCAGCCCTCATGAGTTTGCTCCGAAGAGAGTTATATCGCAAGATTAACTCTTTTTGCTTGGACTGAACGGCGGCCATCCTCGAATCAAGAGCTTCTTCGCGGCCAGCTATGTCAGGTCGTTGGACTCGCCGAACAGTTCCCCGAGAGACATCATTTATTCTTTCTGCAATATCCACCAGCTGGCACAATTGATCGCGCATCTCCCCTTGCAATCGCTCGCATCTTCGGAAAAGATCTGAAGCGGCTTTTTCGAGAGCGTGAGTATATGCACTGAGGATCCTATGAGCACTGGTTATGACATCGAGAGTTGATGGCGACAAGCGAATGGGATCTTTCAAGGCATGTCTGCGACCATGGGGTACATGATCGTTGATAAACGTCTCTAACGGGTTGATAGAGTAAAGAACCGAAGGGACTTGGTACGGCGCACGTTGAGGAATACCCATGTAAGCCTGATGAATGTTGGTATCCGGTTCAACGGGGATGAGATCTTGGGCGCTTTCCAAATCTCCGGTTGCTGCCGATTCCAGAACCAAAGCAGAAACCTGAGACGGGGCATAGGTGAGCAGCATATAACCTAAATCGAAATCGTACATCACCGAGCTGTTCGTGAGGTGCTCAGGACTGTCATCTCTAGACTCTGGAAGTTGAATAAGCTGTTCTCGTTCAGCAATGACACCGTCACAGATAATATTGATGCGGAAGGATGATCCGGTTGTATCTTCGGATTGTAACTCTGGCTCAATTCGCTGCGCCCAAGAGGACAGGGAGATAAACGTAACGCTGTTGGCGGTAGTCACAAAGAAATTATACCTTGATACGGCATCTCCTGTGAATGTAGGCCAAGAGTTGGCCTGATAATACTTTTCTCTTACAGTCTCTAAGGACTCAAGCAGCAAGAGCTCTGAAGCTTCCGACACGGGCATCGTGAAGGTTCCCTGGCTCTTTCTCGGGAGCCATTGCCCCTCAATTCCATCCATTTCAAGAGCTATATGAACCATGCCCTTTTCTGTCGCGAGGCAAATAATGGTCCCTGATATTCCCTCTTGTTTATTCTCACCAAGGAGATCTCCATCTTCACCTGCTAAAAGGTCCTCGGTTTCCGACTTAGCAGCGATCACAAAGATATCCGTTATATCAAGATCATCCGGCTCCTCCTCGATGCTGAACTGAAATGGGCCTTGAAGCCTTGGTATAGGGCTGGGTTTTGTTGGCCGAGATCGGATTTCCGAAAATCCGGAGTCATCTGCTAGTGATATCGGGTCTTGACTGTCGATATCTTGGAGCCATGTATACTGCTGTTCAACAGCTTTCCGTTCATCATCATCCTTAGACATATCCTCTTGTGCAGCTGCCAATTTATGGACTATTGATGCAGTTAAGCATGGAATAGCCAGCGACGGAGAGCGCCACTTCGACGGTAGAAGAGGGCAAAGCGCATAGACGTCGCCCTGTCTCATTGATATCCACAGTGTCATTGGCGCCCACGCATTTTCGTCATCGTACCCGTGACCACCAAAACATGCTGATGCGGCTTCCATGTCAAATACGTCGGCAGAAAATCCTTTGTTCTGACCAAACCCTGAGGGTGCGAAATCTTCTTCGGAAGACGTCCCATCAACTAGCTTTTTCAAATCGATAGCAAGAGCAGGGCGATCAAAGGACCAGTGGTCTCTCCGGTCAACCTCCCAAACGCGGACGGCGGAGTCTGCAGTGACTGTAATGATACATCCTCCATAGCTATCATACACTCCCAAAGGGTGCCAAAGTGCGCAAATGACTGGGGATTCAGGGATGACGTGCGTGGCAGGGCCAAGCTGGTATGTCCTCAGCCGTAGAGGGGAGAAATCCGGGCCTGACAGGTGAGACGAGTCTGGCAAAATGGCAATATGGATGGTATGGGACGTAAGGATGGCGAGGAAAGCTCCATTCGGTGAAATGACGAGTTGTCGTATTTGTCCATATATCGGCGCAGTAAGAACCTAGGGAAGTTAGGGATAATTATTAACACTCCAGAACAAGCCTAACACACCCTGTAGTGCGACGAGCTGTCTGCGAAACTCGTCCCGTCATCGCCCGTGTCTGTCACAGCTCCCTTTCCATTTAAGCCGCCATTTTTAGGGATTCTTATAGAACCAGAGAACGAACTTCCTCCATCCGTAGATCCAAAGCCTGTCTCTTTTCTCTTTTGCCTCACTCTTTCCTGCCACTGGTCTTTTAGCAGGGAAAGATTTGCCCATCGAATCTGATTATCCACCACGGCGAATACTTCAGTGCCCCTCCGCGCTAAGATTTTGATCGGTCCAAAGTACGACTCGGTATCTCTCTCGGCATACTTGTTCGAATTCGAGCTCGAGAAGAATGTAGCGCCTGGGGAGGGCCTGGACAGCCAGGCAGGCGCGTAGTCTACTACTCGCGGCATCGTGAGGCGGCTTAGAAAATTGCGAAAGGATTGTCAGTGTCGGTATTTCGTCCAAAGCGAAAAGAATTGTAGTTAATTCAGGTTCGCTGATATCAAGATCATGACAATAAGAAAATATGGCTCTGCCGTTTCATGTTGTTAATCCCCCGTTCGGAGCTTGAAGTTGGTTGCTTTTTCTGCGGAGCACGTCGTAACTGCTCAAGCTTGGGTTGAGGCCACACGCGCCAAGCCAAGAGCTCTCACGAACGAACTCAACACCAGCTTTGACTTACGCAGAGACAAACATCCAAATGTTGCCCCCTCAATCGTCATTGGCGATGGAGCAAAGAAAGATGAGGACGACTGTCGAGAGGCTGGATAAACCCAGCACGTATTATTTGGGAAAGGCAAGTATTTCAATGCGACCCTATACGTTCTCGCGCCAACTGCTAACTTGCCGCCGGATAGAATAAGAGACGAAAACTGGGTCAAGGTCGGGAGGAGCCAGATGAGAAGATTGAAGCCGAAGATCCTTTAAAGGATGCCACTACTCTTTACGTTGGGAATTTGTGCGTATACATGATAAGCGTTTACACTGAAAGGAGAAGCCTGACCTCCTATTCTTGTAGATCCTTTTACACCACTGAAGAACAAATTCACGAACTTTTCGCCAAGTAAGATCAGACCTGCGACTTCAAAAGTGATGAAAGATGTACTGATGCCTGGTGAGCAGATGCGGCGAGATCAAGCGACTAGTGATGGGCCTTGACCGATTCGCAAAAACTCCATGCGGCTTCTGCTTTGTTGAATATTACACGCATCAGGATGCCCTCGACTGCATGAAATACATTGGAGGCACAAAGTTGGATGAAAGAATAATCAGGACTGATTTGGACCCTGGATTTCAGGAAGGAAGACAATATGGGTATGCCCTTTCGACCAGAGACCTGGAAGATCATTGCGCTTACAGTTTCAAACAGTCGGGGTAAGTCTGGCGGCCAAGTGAGAGACGAATACAGAGATGAATACGACCCTGGCCGCGGGGGATACGGTCGTGCAATCGCAGAAGAGAGACGCCGGGAGGAAGAACAATATGGAAGAGGCAGGTAGGCTGTGTGGGTTTCCAGGGTTACTGGCGCAAAAACGGCGTAAAGACACAAACAAATACGGGTTACAATTCATAATTCAACCAAATTCTATCTGATGTCCAAACACAGTGTACAGGAGAAGAAAAAAAAAAAAATTCTATATCCGTTTAAAGATTCTATCGACGAACCGGTGTTAGGTTTGAGCCTTCATAATGCGAGTCTGTTCCACAGCATTCTTCACTTGCCGAAGCCACCACATATGGATTCGCGGATCTTCTGTCAACTCGGGGTGAAAACTTGTACCAAACACGTTTCCCTGCCTAACAGCCACGATATCGCCAGCGTCCGAGTCAGTCGTGACATCCACGCCGCGGTCCGCCAATCTGGCCGCTCTTCCAGGGAGTTTTGCAAGCACATCCACATGGTCGCTCATAGCTCCCTGCGCTACAAGACTCTCTGGATGGCGCGACGGCGCAATTACTGTCCCGTCCTTTCTCTGCTTTTCAGCTTGTATAGAGTCGCCGCAGGTAAGGATCTTCTCCACCACTGGTGCTCGAATAAATACGCCCTGGAACGGTTGCGGCAGCTCGATATCATCCAGAGAAGACAGGAAGGGCAAATCAAGGCTAGCCTGGAAACTCTCCGTTTGACGACCGAAATGGTTTCTGTTCACACGTACATCGAGTCCTCCGATAAGTTCCTGGCCTCCTTGCTTCGTTCTATTTGCCGACTCAGCCAAAAGGATCAACCCAGCACAGGTTCCCCACGTTGGCTTTCGGCGAATTCTGCCAACGGCCTATTAGTTTCAATTGAAGAGACTGGATGTTACGATTTGTTCTTCCCACGTACTTAACAAATTCCCGCAGCGGTTCTAGCAGGTTTGACCGCGCAGCTACCAGTGCAATGGCAGTGCTCTCGCCACCAGGGATAATCAGGGCATCGCAGCTCTCGAGCTGCGACGGAGTTCGAACTTCAACAAAATTCCATGATTGAGGTACACTTGCTGCCAATCTCTTCGCGGCTTCCTGGAGCAACTTCAGATGTTCAATGAAAGCGCCTTGAAGGGCGAGAACCCCAACTGTAATAGTCATTGCATGATCCCCTTGGTGTGTGAGTCGACGGTGTGCTCGGCGCTTTCTCGACGCGGGACTTGGAAGATGCTGCGCCAATAACCGCTGTCGGATTTATGTCGGGCCGTAAAATTAGATTTCTATCACGTGGTAGCTAGTTAGGTCCAAAGGCGGGGCTTAAATTTAAGGTTATCTATCAACCGATAAGATGCTGTCAACCAACCGACCGGTGATAGCGGATGCGTTTTCGTTTCGCAGTCGAGGGCGCGTGGCCGCGAGAACAGGAATGGCATCCTCTGCGGAGGAAACCAAAGAGCCATGCTTGTCCCGTGGGCTGACACGATGGTACATGGACATGCGGGGTCTCTCAGCCAGCACGTCGTCTCTTCCACTACTCTTCACTCTCCAGCCGGATGACCAGGAGGCGGTGAAGAGGTTCTATCATCTGGCGGATAGGCACATGTCCCTTGCATCATACCTGCTTAAATATCTCTTCATTCACCGCACATGTCACGTCCCGTGGAGTAGGATAGTTATCAGTCGAACTCCTGCACCCCACAAAAGACCATGTTATATCCCATTAGCCCCCGCGGATGGCAATGAGAACAAGCTACCAATTCTCAATGTGGAATTCAATGTTAGCCATCAGGCTTCGCTTGTAGCATTGGCCGGCTATATTATCCCCGGAGGCTCTCCAACCAGTGCTGCCTCCGCTACGAATACACAATCCATACCATCGCCCACTGAAACGCCTGCCACACCACAAGTCGGCGTCGATATAACGTGTACAGACGAACGCGCCAGGCGTGGCAAAAGTTCAATCCCAACAACTGAAGTAGATCTATGCTCCTTCATAGACATCTACGCTGAAGTCTTCTCCCCCCGAGAAATAGAGATCATGAAATCTAACCCGACTTCGCAACATTCACAAGCTGCTGTGCCTCTTAGCCTTGAGGGATCGATTCAATACCGTCTGCGCCGCTTCTACACTTACTGGGCACTGAAAGAAGCATACATAAAAATGACTGGCGAAGCACTGCTCGCACCATGGCTGCGGCAATTAGAGTTCGTCAACGTCAATCCGCCGGAGCCGGCGATGGACGGGGAACGGCCGGTATGGGGCTCACCTCGGACGGATGTGCAAGTGTTGATGTATGGGCAAAAAGTGGAAAATGTGAGGATCGAGACCGTTTCTTTTGGGAAAGAGTATGTGGTTGCGACGGCGACCAGAGGGCCGGAACTTGGCACTGGTCTCGCCACATGGGGTGATTTTAGGTCTATTGATATTGACACCGACGTTGCTCTGTGTGCTTTGGGTAAATGCCAATGCCCCAAATGAACGGGGTTTCGGGTTATAGTGGATGGGTGGATTGTATGAAGTTTTGAGATTGATATCACTCAATCTACATCTATCTGTGAAGTACATACAAATACATATTACCCGGCATCTGCAGGTTATCTCCAAATTATGTAGCTATGCGTATGCATGCAACCTTCAAGCCGAGATTAAGAACGGGTCCAAGTCCTGATAAAACTTTGGACTGACGTTCACGAGATAGGTGGTGCTCTAAATTTAGAACCATAAAGGGGATATGAAAACATATAATGGTATTAAACACAGGTGTTGGGAAGGGGAGAAGAGAGAGCAAAAAAAAAAAAAAAAAAAACCAAAGCGCCGATGCCATGCGAAAGTCGTCTATTATATTCACGTCACTTGTCTTCAGCTCTCCATTTTGGTATCAAGCGAGTCATCGAGTCGTCCACGTCGTGTCCTTTCTATAGTGTAGAAGCAGGGGGTCGAGGTAACTGGCCGTGGCGCGTTGCCCCGTGCGGGTCGGATAGAACACCGCCGTGTTCGATTAAAAGGTAAACTTCTATAGCAGATATCGAATATTTATATTTCGACGGCGCTGGACTGGCCGGCGTGCGGCTGGGCGGGTTTGAATGCTGTTCCGTTCGCTAGTGCCTCCCTTGACTTGTGCATTTCCATAAGAGTCTCGAGCATAGATTCTCTAGTTTTCACTGCGAGGTCGTCGACATCAGCGGCAGTCAGGCTTTTGGTGCTAATGGGCGGGAGCACTAGTTCGATCATGTTAGTTCGGCAAATCTAGTGCAGTCTTGGAGACGAATGCACCGACCTTTGATCTTGATGTCACCAGCATCAAACCTCAGCTTCTTGATATTCAACACATGCGAGTAATTCTCCACTACAATCGGCACGATATCGACGCCTGCCTGCACCGCCAAATGGAAAGCTCCCTTTTTAAACGGCAACAAGCACGGTTCCGACGAATAACTCCTCGTTCCCTCCGGAAAGATGAACACGCTCTGCCTCTGCTTCCGCATCTGCTCCGCCGCACCGTCAAACGCCTTCAGCGCCGTCTGCCGATTCGCACGATCGATAAACACCGTTCCGGAGAGCGCCATGAACCATCCTAAGAGGGGCACGTTCCTCAGGGACTTCTTCGCCGTCACGCTGCAGTAAGGAGGAAACACGGCGCCGAGCATCAACACATCCAACTCCGTCTGGTGGTTCCCGATAAACACAGCAGGCCGCGTAGACAGATGCTGCTTTCCTTCCACAATGTCAAAGTACGTCCCTGTGGTCAACCACATCACCCATTTGAAACTGCGGGCCACGGCCCACTGCGAAACCTGGCCATAGCCGGCTACCCTGAGGACTATCGATGCGAAGACTCCGTATGTTGCGCAGAGGAGTAAGGAGGCGTACGCGGCGAGGCAGCGAGCGAAGAAGCCGGCCCGTGGGGCCTTGATGGAGAGGCCGAAGAGGCCGACGGTGAGAGCGACGTAGGACGTCAGTCCGGAGACGACATATGAAAGAATGGACATCCTTTTCTCTTTTTCTTTTTTTTTTTTTTTAGAAAAATTTTTTTTTAGCTGCGATCGGAGTGAACCAATCGCCAGGAGAGAGACTCGAGGCTGGGAAAGGGGAAAAACTACTCCGTTGAGTGGCTAGAATGGGGGCGGGGAGCGAGGTTTGGGGGTTCCCGAAAAAAAAAATTTTGGGGTGAATTTTCCTCCCCAAGCCGTGGCGGGCCAAATGTTGAGAGACGACGTCGGAACAGCTCATGAAGCGATTAAGCAAAAATATGATTCTGTCCCCTTCCTACATTCTCTCATGGCATGATACCTTTGTTGGCGAATATAATTCTACGCCCGTCCAACTTCGAGGATAATATATTTGTTAATTGTAGCCTGCTTGCAATCTCGGCCTGCAGCCCATCTGACCTCTCCAGGACTCATGATCAGTCCAAAGACGACCACCTCGGCACATGGGCATTTTCCCCGAAGCTTGCAAAACAGGATCTAAACCATCACCGAGTATTTCTTGCAGACCACCTGCATGGTGACTTTGAGATTTACCCCGGCTCAATTAATGATAAGTGGGTATAGTCAAGTGATAGATACAGCGCATTCTTTTAGGATCCAGGGCACCCAAAGCCCCAGCGCCTCGGGAGCAAAGGTCGAGGAAGCACCGGGTCAAAATGATGAAATAAAATACTATAGAAGGGTCACGACACTCATGAAAAGAGAAAACGCTGCAGAAACTAGCTCTCACCAGAAGCTGTCGAAAAAAAGTTCAACGCCTGTCCCCAAGGGCTCCAACCACATGCTCATGCTCAATGTCACCTTATTTCCAACGCCAATGCATAGACAAATAAAATGGCTGTTTGCACAATCGAGCCCCGTGATAGCCGTCGGCCACGATCGCCATCGGAAGCAAGTCGCCGGATTTGTGTAAAGGAAAGAAACGGAGGGGATGGGGGGGGGGGGGGGGCAACGACGGTATCGAACGGACTAGATTGGGTTGTAGGAATGAGCCCTAGCTCATATCATCATCGAAATCATCGGGGCTATCCAACGACTCCATGGCATCTTTGATAAACTGGGCGGCCTAAAGCCAACGGTTAGTTTCAAAGTCTTCTTCATAGACACTTCAACGCTTCTGGATACCTTTGGATCCAAGTTCAAGGCAGTTGTGAAATGCTTAATCGCATTGCTTTTATCATGCATCATTTTGTAGAACTTGCCGAGAAGATAATGGACATTAGGCTCATCGGGTGCAATATCCTTCAAGATTTTTAATTCTGCGTGAGCGTGTTTGACTTCATGAAGTTTCAACAGAGTCCGAGCCTTGCGCAACCGTGGAACAACCGCCTGTGGTGACAGAGTGCAGCCTCGAGCATACTGCAGCAACGCGCCCTTCTGGTTTCCCATCCGTTCCAACACTAGGCCAATACAGCAGATTAGCACGACATTAGTTGGATTGATGTTCGACGCCGTTCGATAATGCTGCTCTGCAAACTTGAATTTGCCCATCTTTTCATAGACCTTGCCCAATCCATACCAGGCATTATAATGCCTGTTATCAGCGCCAATCGCATGCCGATAAGCATCCATCGCTTTGTCGTGCTCTTCATTGGAAAGATACTCATGTCCTTGCAAAGTAAAGGCGTACGCAAACCGTGGGTCAACCTGCGTGGCACGCTGAAAACACTTCAGGGCTTGGTCGTGGTCACCTTCCAGAGAAAACGAATTTCCTATCGCGCACCATGCCTGTGGCGATAGCCGATCAACTTCCATGAGCTCATGCGCGAGGTATGCTAGTTCAACGGCATTTTTGAGATGCCAGAGGACCGTTGAATAGACCTCCATATCCTCCAAACTGTGTGGTGCAATGGTCCGAACTCGAATGAAGTATTTCTCCGCTTCGCCGTATTGCGCTTGCTCATAATATGCACGTCCAAGTTGTGACAGGACCCACGGCGTTTCTCTCTGGCTTTGAGGTAAGGAACTAAAAATTTGGATAGCTTCCTGGCATCGATAATTCGACAACATGTTGAAACCAGTAGCAAGCTTCGAGAATAGTTCTAGAATCCAGCCTATAGCCTCAATCTCTTTTGATTTGTCGGGAGGCGAAGCCTTACTCTGATTACCATGGGCGCTTTCCTTCCTGTCGATATCCATAGGCTCTGTGACCGCTTTACGGCTACCGCTAGCAACT